AAAAAAAAAATATATATATATATATATATATATATATAAACCAACAACTGCAGAATACACATTCATTTCAAGTGCATATGAAGCATCCGTCAAAACAGACCATATGTATAATTAAGTTTCAAAACACTGGAATCTTAAAGTATAGATTCTCTGACCACAGAGAAATCAATAACTAGAAACCAATAACAATAAGATACCTAGACTATCCCAATATATGGAAATTGTTAAATAATAATAGTAAATAACCTATGACCAAAGAAAACAAACCACACAGGAAATTAAAATATATTTTCATATTGAATGACAATGAAAACACAACATATCAAAATTTGTAGGAAACAGCTAAAGCACTGCTTAGAGAGAAATGAGAAGCTTTAAATAAATGTTAAAATTTTTAATAAATATACACGCATCCTTCACTGTCTAGATCTATTTGGATCCTGAGTTTCAAATAACAAGTAGCAAGATTTCAGATAGCAAGAGACTAATCAGTAGAATTATTCACATTTACTTAGCTCCCGAATTAAGATAGCAGTTTAGATAACAGGGAAACTGACTTTTAGGGAAAACTATAGATCTCATAAAACATTTAAATCTAATTTCAGCAATTATACTCTCACATAATGGTAGGGGAAATGCCTCGCTTATAATTAAATTACTTGATAGATGCTTTATAGATTGATATCCCAATGACTTCATGAGAATCTGCTCCTGTCAGTTATGAAAAAAAATTTAAAGATATCCCAAATGTATAGTTGCTAGACTTATTAAAGCTATAACAAATTAGAATGAATTTTTCAATGAACATCTAGGTAAGGATACTTACTATACATTCATATATAAGTAACAATTTGCAGAGCACCTACTATTGACAAAGACTGTCTCCTTAATCAAACTTCAGTCAAGCTGAAGTTGACTGAGTCATCTCTTTGACTAGGACTGGCCCTTGGACTCTGTCCTTGTCACTTCCAGTCCAGTTTAGCAAGAATCTTGCTGACTCCAGTTTAGGGAGT